TTAAACCTGCCTGCTCTATAAAGCGCCGTTAAATATTAAGCATGATGAAAGGCTTTGAGGGGGAAACGCAGCGCTGGGAGAGGTCCCCAGACAGAGGTGTCCAGCCACGCTGGTGGGGTGACTGCTGAGGTTGGTGGTGTTGGGATGAGTGAGCACCCCACACCCCTCAGGGCTGTGGGGTCAGGGAGCAGTGTGCCCCCACGAGCCAGCACTGCCTTCGAATGCAGCCGGCCGTCCCAGCAAAGCCGTCCCGTAACCATTAACTTATTAACAACTGGTGGAAGAGGCAAGTGGTGGCTTGCAAGGTCAGGGGGTGGTTTGTGCCTGGCGGGGAGTGAACTGCCCCCCAGCTCTGGCAATGGGGATGGGGGAGGGACCTGCAAACCCTTAGTTTGTTGTGTGTGCCCCGTGGCAGGGAAGACTCTTAACTGTGGATATCCCTGAACCCCAGTGTGCTCGGGGCTGTGCCTCAGCTGGGAATGGTCAGATCCTGTGATTATCTGCAGGGTAAACTGAGGCATGCCAGCAGGGCACAGGGCAGGACACACCAGTGCCTGAGTGCTTGGTTGTGCACCAACCATCTTCCTCGGGAAGAATCTCAGAGGCAGTCGAGCTCCGAAGTGGTGCAGTGACTCCAAAACAGTGCATCAGCAGTCAGCCACCCGTGGTGTGTGGCTGGGGGGTGCAGGGAGGTGAGCATTACCTGGGCGTGCTGCGTGAACACTGGCCAGATGGAAAAATTAGCAGAGTGGCTAATCAATGTGGGGATATTAAGCAGCTCAGGTTTGGGGGGTTTGCATGGCGGGGGGGAGCTGAGCGGGGTCTAGGATCGATACAGCTCATATTAAGTGGATTAAATCCTGGCTGCTGATCTGAGCCCTCGCTGCCAGCAGGCGGTGGCAGCTGAGCAGGGACTGTGGGGGTCCCACTGAGATCACTTCTCTTGGCAGCCGGGCCCAGGGGGGACTGTGTGGGGACTCACAGACCAGAGCAAGCTGAAGTGCCTGGCGGGTTGCTTAGCACCTCATCACATCCTTCCTCTGTCTAGTGTGTCAGCTAGCCTAAGGGGTCTCAGGGACCCAAGCTTCATCTCTAGAAGCCCTCCTGGCTCCAGGAAAGTAATGTCCTGGGTGAATGAGTGGTGTTAACAATGTTACTTAATCGTGGGGAGGAGGAAGAGGAGGAAGCACAAGGTTTATTCACATCCTGTTAATAAAGCATGTTCGACCCACTGACCTTTAACCTGCCTGACAAGCCCCCTTATCCCCATCCCTTAAGGAGTACAGATGTCACCATGGCAATGGGATGACAGGAGGGAGCAGGTCCCAGAGCTGCACCCAGCATGGGGTGTGGGATGAGGACACACTGAGCTAGTCCTGCACAAGCACCCAGGCCAGCAGTGCCAGGAGGAGGTGGGGTGCTGCTGGGGTTACAAGGCCAGTGGGGTGGCCAAGCATAGACAGGTCTCCGAGGCTGGCGGAGCAGGGCTGTGCTGCACAGCGGCGGGATATTGATCCCGGGGCTTGACAGTTTAATACTTCCGTTTATAGAGGAATATAGTTACATCGATGGTGTTAAATGAGTTACTAATTATATCAATACAAACACGATTAAAAGGGTCCTTGCTCATAGGTCACCACAAGCAGGAGCCGCTGGTTGTGTTGCACAACTGCCCCTGAGCAAGGCTCAGACCACTGCTCCAAGGTGCATGGCAGGGGATGCTCTGGGGCAGCATGTGCCCTGTGAGGTCAGGGGTGCCCATCCACGTGGAATGCCTGTCTGGGGTTGTGAATGCGTGTGTGGGACTGTACATCCCCTTCTGGAGTTCTGTGTTCCTGTTTCAGGCTCTGTGTGCCCATCTGGCATTGTGGATGCACGTACAGGGTTTGTGCATGCATATTTGGAGTTGTGCATGTCTGTTTGGGGTTGTGCACACATGTATGGGGATCTGTTTGCCCATTTGGGGCTGTTCAAGCCTACCTGGGATTTATGTGTGCCTGTCAGGGTTGTCCATGCCTATTTAGAGCCGTGTGTTCTGTTCTGGAGTTGTACATGCCCCTCCGGGGTTGTGAGTGCGTGCCCATGATGTGTGTATGGGGTTGTGGATGCTCCTGCAGTCTGATGTGTGCCCATGGAAGTCTGGGCACACACCAGACTGCTGTGCATGCCCGTGGGAGGCTGTGCACTTCCAGACATGGCTGTGTGTGCCTGTGTAGGGATTTGTGCCCCTGTGCATCACAGGCTTTGCATGCTCCTGTGGTGTTCTACGTGCGCGCCATGCAAGGCTGTGCAGTATTGTACATGCCCATTCCACCTTCTGTGTGGCACTAGGGGGATCTGTGTCCCTGTACAGGGTTGTGCCTCTGCTTTTGTGGAGCTGTGCAATGCCCACGAGGGGGTTGTGTGGGCATTGTGTGGGTTATGGGGTTGTGTGGACCCACACAGGGATGTGCACGCTTGTGGGGTTGTGCAAGCCCAGGTGTATTGTTCATGCCTGTGTAGGGTTGTATATGCTCACATGGGTTTGTGCACCCCCACGTGGGATTGTGGCAGCCCATGTGGGGTTATGCACACCCAGGTGAGGTATGTGTCCCTGCACAGTGACTGTGTGTGACCCAAGAGACCTCTTCTCCAGCCTGGGCATCCCCAAATCTCATGGAACAGCCCGTGCATCCCAGGCGTACCCAGGGGCCATGCCGACTTGTCCCCAGTTACTCAGCTCCGCTCTCATCTCCACTTAAAAGCTGACCTTTGCTCCCCGTTTGATGTAATATGTTTTTGCATCTCAGTGCCCCACAGATAAAAGGTTAGAGGTTAATAAACAGTGGAAAAATAGAACCTGGCCCTTGGAGGTCACACCTGTTTTGGGGGCTGGAGTCAGTAGCAGCCCACTCTAGGTGGGATCCTGCCTACATCCATGGAAGGAGAAACACGAGTGGCACCCAGGGCAGAAGTGTGTGGGTGCTGAAGCCCATCCCCAGGTGACCCTCGGGAAGGCCACAGCTTCATCTTGCAGTGGGATGAGTGGTAGTTGCCAATTCTGAAGGTTTGCCCCTGCCTTGATAGGCCAGATGTCAGGGGATGTCAAAGCACTTGGTGTGGAGGCCTTCCAGAGGCATGGACAGGCAGGAAAATGCAGGCAAAGCCTGGCTGACACAGCCTTCCTGGGGCAGAAATCAAAGCAGCCTCCTGGAGCTCTGCTCAGAGCCTGACCTAGTTACTGTAATCAATGGTTCAGGGACCTCCTGGAAAAGAGCAGGCGATGGGGAGGGGGCACAGAGCGAGGCAGGGAACACTGCAGTGGAGAGGCACACAATACTGGCACCCAGGGGTCAGGGCACTCCAAGAGCACCCAGCTGCAAGGAGGGGATAGGTAAGTGGGATCCAGAGAGCAGGGAAGCAGTGCAGAAGGAGCTCCATGGAGCCAGGGAGTCAGCACCTATGGGTAGGGTGAGAGTCTGGCAGTTGCACCCCTAGACAAAGTTAGGGACAGGCAGTTAGTAGCACCGATCTGTCCCTGACAAGGGACAGGCAGCTGGCACCTGAGACAAGGGACTGTGTTAGATGTGTCTGTTCAGTGGTGGGAACCGTGGGGTCTGTAGAAGCATCCTCATATCCCTGCAGGTCCCCACATTCCCCCATCCCTACATCCCACATCTCAATTTCCCCAAAGCCTTTACACTCCACATCCCTGCATGCCCATGTCCCTGTATGCATATGCCCCCATTGCATCCCTGCATCACCCCATCGCCGTGTGCCCTGGGTCTCTGCAGACCCACATCCCTACATTCACGTATCTCTGAATTCATTTGCCCCCATGGCATCCACCCCCTTCCCCACAGCCCGGTGTGCCTGCAGCCTGACGACCCTTAAGCACAGCTCCCTTTATCTGTCTGGTGAATGATGTTCTGTGTGGAGCGGGGGTGTGCTCCCTTTCTATTGTTTTTTAACGGCCTTTCCCAGCACAATTGTTTTTTAAACGACTCTATTTTGTGCCTGACTTTGTTTTCCAGCTTGCATTTCTTTGTATACGTTTTGGAAATCCATTCTGGACTGCTGAGTTTTGTTTCTTTTCAATGGCTTTAAATTCTTGCCGGGCTTGCTGGGAGGAATTGGTGTCTATAGTGTCTTCGATTGGTGCTAATTTTTCCTTCATGTGCTCTGACTTTTACTGCTGGGCCATCGATCTGGCAGGCTCCAATTTGTCATGGTCACTCAGGCGCTGTGCTGGAATCAGGCGAGCCCAGACTTCCACAGGGAGCCGGCACTTGGTGTACCTGGTCTAGGGGCTGCATTCGCCTCCCCAGTGCTGTCCCTCAGCTCAGGCTGTGTCCGTGTGTCCAGACCATCCAGCGCACATAAGCATGCTCACAGCCACATTTGTGCTGTGCAATCCTGGACAAATGGCAGCCCCAGTACTTGCAGCTCCCTTGATGGTGCCCAGTGGCATGGTCGAGCCAACTTTCCTTCCCCAGGATGGGATCATCCCCCACTGTTCAGGTGGGCCGGTGTCCCTGTGAGGAATGTGGGCTGATGAGGATGCTGATCCCATGCTGGGACTTTGGGAGCACCAGCACTCAGCAGTGCCAGAGCAGAGCTGAGGATCCTGATCCCAGGGTCCTGTCTGGGGCTTTGGGTTTGCTGATGCCTCTGGGCTATGATTCTTGCATCTAAGAGGATGAGAGGCAGGACAAACCGAGGCACAAACCCAGCCTCTCTGCAGCAAAGATCCAACATAGTCAGTGGTCTGTAGGGAGGCCATGCCAGACCTGAGGCACAGGGAGAGCCCATACCCAGCCAGAGGATGTGTCAGGGGATTCTGTTAGTGGTGCACAGAGAGCCTCTTGTTGTTGCCAGAGCAGGCAAGTGGGGTCAGGGGTGATGCGAGGGGTGATGCCGGGTTCTGGCACAGGCAGTGTTCGGCCCCAGGCACTGCTCCTCTCCCCATTCTCACCTGCATGTGCTGGAAGCACTGACCCCTCTCTCTCTCCTGCCTCCAGCTCTATGAACTGGATGAGGACCCGAAACGCAAGGAGTTCCTGGATGACCTCTTTGGCTTCATGCAGAAGAGAGGTAAAGGTGGGTGGCTGGGGTGGGTGCCACTGCCACCCCTGCCTCGGCTGCTGGTGGGGGGCTCATGGTGTGTTGTTCTCATGCTCTGAGCTGCTCCAGGTCTCTGCAAATCCCTCAGGCAGGTCCTGTGGTGCTCCCCCTGAACCTTCCCGCAAGCCGGGCAGTTGTTGTTGAGGATATCTGGTGCCCATTATCGATGCCCAGCAGGGATACCCGCTGGAAACACCTGGTGGGGATGTCCATTAACATACCCCTTGGTGACAAGCATTAGCAACACTCATTAATTATGCCCATTAGCAGTTTTCAGGACTTAGGGATGCCCGGTGGGAATGCCCTTGGCAGTGCCCTTTAGGGCTCCCTGTTTGCAGCACCTGGTGAAGATGCCCACCATCAGCACCTCTCAGCGATGCCTACAATTTGCGGGAGCAGCGCCGGGCACCCAGGGGTTAAGGGCTCACCAGCCAACCCATCCTCATCGGAAATCTTTGCTATCGGCATGGGGAGCCGAGCCGGCTCCCGGGGACTCGATAAATGCTTTAACCTTCGCCCTCCCCGGCCGGGCCTGCGACAATTAAAAGTTGCCGAGCGCGGGCGTGTGGCCGGCCGTATTAATTAGAGCCTTTTGCTGGTGTGTGGATTAATGAACAAGCCGCTCGATAGCCAGTAAACCCCAGGCAGAGGTTAATGCCGAGCTAATTAACGGGGAAAGGCTGAGGGGGGTGCAGGAGCTTTGGGGCTGGCTGTGCATGGGGTGAGGGAGGGCAGAGTGGGGCAGTTGCCCGCATGCCCTGCCCATTGGAAGGGTGGTGAGGGTCCCCACCGGCTGTGGGGCTGCACAGATTGACTTTTGGGTTGGGCTGGGACGCCACAAACTTGTTGCAGTCACGGGTGTGTGGTGAGCGGCTGGCACGGCCAGAGGGCTCACGCTGGGGACAGCTGTAGGCTGTGGATGGGCTGGGTACTGCCCCATGGGTGGCCCCTGGCCCTGGTGCAGAGTTGTGGGGAGCGAGTGGGAGCATCAGCACTGCCTCGGCCCTCCAGCATTCATCAGCTGCAAGATTCATGGGCTGTTCTGCAGCTTCATTATCTCTCTCTCCAGAGCTAATTAACTCCCTCGCTATTGGGGCCGGGGCTAATTAAGTAAGTGCCTGCTGGTGTGGGGAGGAGGGAGGGGGTCTAATGCTTCCCTGACAGTGCTGCTCCACATCCCTCTGTGTCTGGATGTCCCACTCCTATGCCCTCCATCCCTTCTGTCCTGCTTCCCCTCCAAAGTGGGTGCTATCCCTCTGGGGAGGGCAGGCAGGGTGTGGGTGCACAGGTACAGGTGTGCAGGGATTGGTGTGCATGAACCTTTTGGAGGACACAGGGATTTTGGACTGGGGTACCGAAGAGAAAGGGGACAGAAGGGTTGAGGGGCAAGGACAGCATCCCAGGGGTCATCAAGAGCTGGGTAAGAAGCAGCACCTGAGAACCACTGCAGGTGCAGCTGGGGCACCCAGAGGTGCATGGGCAGGGGACTGTGACATCCAGGCTGTGTCCCCAAGGTCTCCAGGGGGGATTGATGTCCACAGAGTGAGCTCTGCTGAAAGGGACTGCATCCCCCCTGCTGTCTGTCAGAACAGTATCAGCACTGACATTTGTCAGCAGAGTGGAAACTTTGTAGGGCTGAAAAATGGGTTGGGAGAGCAGACCTTCTGAGGCCACCCCATGGCACAAGGGCACAGCTGGCCCTGGTGGCTCATGGAGGTAATGCCACCACCACCACCACCATCAGAAATGGGGTACAGGCAGTGGGGCAGCTCATGGCCATGCCCCAGCTTCTGTGGCACCTCAAAGGCAGTAATCAGGGACAGAAGGGGCCTATTCCTGCATTTGTTTACTGGGGTACCCTCCTCCCCCCATTTCACCCCCAGGCTGAATGCCCTGTTGATAACAAGGGGCTATTAATCAATCCAGGCGCTAATTGCAGCACCACACGATGGCTGCATCACCTCCCTGAGCCTTTGTGCCCTTCAGTCTGTGGGGATGCAGACAGGTGCCTTTGTCAGTGGGACAGGCATTGGCCACTCACCCCACACAGCCCTGAGATGGTTAGCGAGGCACTTTCATAAGCTACCAAGGCTAGAGATGGGAGAGAAGAGAAATCCATGGGCCACTGGGTGAGGGCTGAGACCCTGAAAACTCATTGTTTGGGGACCTTCAAACTGGCCCCCCCGAGGTGATGGGTCTTGTGCCAGCAGCCCTGAGCAGAGCTGTGAGCTGCTGACAGCAGATGTCAAGTCAATATCTCTGCCTTTCTCCCAGGAGGATAAACTCTTCTCCCCCTTCCCGACCTGGTGAACAACACAGACACACACAAAAAAAAAAGTTAAATGAACTCAGTAAAAGAATAAAAAGAGCTCATTTTTCAGGCTTATGTGAAGAAGCCAAGCCAATATCAGGGCCATAAATTAGGGATGCTGGAGGATGGCGGTGAATGACGGCTTCGTTTGAGGGGCGAAGCGCAGTCGTGACAGCCTCCCTTGGCCAAATGGATGGCTTTCCAATACTGCCTGTGCCCCGCCACCTCACAGGAGGAATAAATATGGGGTGGAATGGCACAGGATGGGACAGGGTGGGACGGGATGTGATGCTTGTGCCTCCTCTGCCCGGCTTCCAGCAAATGCCCACACTGTCATCCCAAGGAGGCATGGAGCACAGCAAGGCTGTGAGGTTATTTGGGCGTGCTTAGAAAGTGGGGAAGGGTTTTTAGCCAGACTTGGTGGCTATGGAAACCATGGTGATCTATACTGGGCTCTCAGAACCCTGGTGAACACATGTTCCCTTGCCCCATAGCCTCATAGAGGAGGGTGATGGTGGGGCACCAAGGGTCAGGGTCTCTGCTGAGAGCTGTTGAAGAGGATTTGGAGTCAGGTTTCTTGAAGCTGGGCACTAAAGTCCTTTAAGCAGAGGAAACTTCCAGGGCCATCTGTAGGGTTAAGAGTTTTTTCAGGAATTCTCTGAAAGAGTCTGGAGTTGGAAGAAAAAACTTCTCCATAGAGAGGTGGTAGGGTGAGTCGTCCCAGAAGGGTTGTGGGGATCATCCCTCTTCAGAAAGGTTATAGGAATGGGTCCCTTTTTAAAGTGTAGATGGAGTCTCTCTTTATGGGGCTCTGAAAGAGCATTACAGAGCAAATCACTCTAGGATGCTCTGAGAGATTTCATAGATTGGTGCTGTACAGATAGCTCTGAGAATTGTAGGGAGACAACCTTACCTAAGGGTGTCTGGAGCGATGCTTTGCCCATCCCACTGTGGCTCCATATCCCAGATGAGAGCATACCCAGCCGCACTGACAGCTCCATCAAAGGTGACCCTCTGCCAGCATGCTGGAGTCTCCCCTGCTTTTTGGCACAGTGCCACTCTCCCAGGCACCCTGGGGTCTTACCTGCACCCAGGTGCCCATGGGTGCTCACCTGCGCATGGAGAGATGTGACTCCCATTGTGGGTAGCTGCACTGGCAGTGGGGGGAGGCTGGGGACTGTGATCCCAGGTACAAAGGTTCCCTGTGGGCAGCCCCCCACAGCCCCTTCTGTCTCCTGTGTGCCTCCGGAAGGAACACCAGTGAACCGCATCCCCATCATGGCCAAGCAAGTGCTGGACCTGTACACACTGTACCAGCTGGTGACAGACAAGGGTGGCCTGGTCGAAGTCATCAACAAGAAGATCTGGCGGGAGATCACCAAGGGCCTCAATCTACCTACCTCCATCACCAGTGCTGCCTTCACCCTCCGCACACAGTGAGTGCCTGGCGGCATGGCGGGGGGGGGACAACTCTCCTGGGACACCCGCTGGCTCAGATATTCCAGAGCCCTGGGAGGGTCTGACATGGGGTACCACAAAAGTGGTTGGAGGGCTCTGCTCCTTTCCAAGGGCTCTTTGCTCAGCACGGGGCTGGCTGGGAGGTGCATGACTGTGGATCTCCCCTGGCTCTCTCCCCGTGCAGATACATGAAGTACCTGTATCCCTACGAATGTGAGAAGCGGGCGCTCAGCTCTCCCGGAGAGCTCCAAGCTGCTATCGACAGCAACCGTCGGGAGGGGCGGAGGCAGACTTTTGGCACAGCACTCTTCAACTACTCGCCAGCCAGCACCCCAACCCTGCTGGGCACCCCCAAAATGCCCCTGCCAGCTCTTAGCATCTCCACTCACAGCTGTGGCCAGCTCAGCCAAGTGCACAGTGTTAAGAAAGGTGGGTGAGGATCCCATCTTCCCAGAGATGAATGCTGCTCCACAGCAGGGATGTTTCCCTGTCTGCTCTTGCCCTTTTTGCTTTGGGAAAATAGGAGCAATGTTGTTCTTCTAGTCCCTTTCAAAGAGTGAAACGAGTGTATTTTCCCTGGCTTTGGAGAAGGACCAAGCCCAGATGTTGGGAGTGGTGGCCTGCCCTGTCCCATTGCTGGTGGGGTGGAGTTGGCACCACTGGTGATGGTGAGGTGGGGTGGTGATGAGGGACCCACTGAGCTCTCTTGCTCATTGCAGAGGACGGAATGCTGGCAGCATCAGTGCCGGGGCGCATTGCTATCCCGGTGGGACTGGCCAGCCACCATCTCACAGCAGCCCAAGCAGCAGCTGCCTCACAGGCAGCGGTGCTGGAGCAGCTGCGGGAGAAGCTGGAGACAGGGGAACCCCCAGAGAAGAAGGTGGCCCTGACAGCGGAGGAGCAGCAGCGGCTGGTGCAGCATGCACTTCAGCACAACCTCCTGGCCATGGCCTCCCAGTTCCCCATGAACATCAAGATCTCCAACCGAGGTAAAGAGATGTAACACTTCAGCCTTGGTCATCCCTTTCTCTGGCACCCGAGGTGGGAGCAGCAGCAAGCCACTGGAGAGGAGTATGGATGCCCAGAGGGACTGCGTCCCGGCTTATCTGTCTCGGACAGGTTCTTGTTTCTGTTTCGCTTAACACTCATATTGGTATTTCCTTTCCCCAGATGACAGACAGGAGACCGCATTGAACCTGTCCACCAACAGCATTAGCAGTATCAACATGTCAATAGAAATAAATGGAGTTGTCTACACAGGTAAATAGAAGGGCCGCTTGGCCCGTGTAATTGCGGCCGGGAAATCCAATAACTTATAGCCACTGCCTGGCCAGCAAGTCCTTCCTTCAATCTGATGTCTTTACTATAAAATCCATCGTAATGAAGTGGCAGGGCTTGGGGAGAGGGGGCAGGAGGAGGAGGGGGTTGACAAGGATGGAAATTGGCCCAAAGCAGGTGCTAGGAATGAAGGGCTAAAGTGGGGGGTGAATAGATGGACAGATGGACAGACTCTGGCTGAGAAGTGACCCTGCACCTAAGGTCATTCCACACCCGAGGGTCCTGAAGGCAGGGCTTGGATTTGGGGTCAGCACAATGCTTGTATGCCCAGAGGGTCTCTGGCTGGGTGTGGGGCTTGGCTGATTGCAGAGCATGGTGCAGGGAAAGATGTTGGGGTGCTTTGGTGGAGCAGAGGATCCTTTGGGGTGCCAATGTGCACCAATCTGGCTAAGCAGCCCATGTCCCCCAGATCCCCAGCCCATGTCCCCCAGATCCATGCCTGTCCTGCTGAGACACCCCACAATTAAAATCAATGGCTTTACCTTCAGAACTTAAATATTTAATGAGCGGGAAAGGTCATGGCTAAGCCTCATGTGGGGCTGCCAGCCAAATGTGCCCACAAGCTGCCCCACACAGGCAAGGATGATTGGGTTGGGGGAGACACCACAAGTGATGACAGGGGGCTGAAGCCCCCATGAGTCTTGGTCCCACACTCCCCAGCCTGGGTGCTGGGAGCCAGGTGAGTCTATCCTCTAACCCTGGCCTTGCCCTAACCTGCTTGTTCTTGTCCCCCAGGTGTCCTGTTCGCCCGCCGGCCCTCAGCCACCCTGGCACCTGGTGGAGGGAGCACCCAGACCCGTCCAAACCCCATGCCTGCCCCAAACCCCCTGCTCCCAGCCTCCTCTCAAAGCCACACTCCCACTAGCACCTCGCCGTAAGGCAGATGTGCCCCCACCCTGAAAGCAGCTGGGGATGCCCGGAGTCTGGGGGGCTGAGCTGTGGGACCCAGCTGGGCCACCAGGATGGGATGGGGGACCCAAAGGTGCCTCTTGCTGCAATACTGAGCTGTGTCCATGCAAGGCTGTGAACACCCACCCGGGACCTTTTGTCCCTTATCCCCACGCGTGCCCTCTGACACACACACACACACACACACACACACACACACACATATTCCTTCCCAAGGCACCACCCCCAGGTGACTCTCCCATACATCTCCTGCTGCCCTGATGCCTGGGGGACCCCCAGGACCTGCATGCTGCATCCCCTACATCCTGCAGCCCCTAACCCACCTCGATGCACGCACTGCTGCCCCTGTACATGCCTCAATGCATACACTGTATCCCCTACACACACCCCTGGTGCCCACACTGCCTCTCCATACACACCCTCCGTGCAGACACTGCAGGCACGATATGCTGCAGCCCCTATAAATTGTAGCCCCTCTACGCTGCAGCCCCGATATATATACTGCACCCCCTACCCACTGCAGACGCCCCTACCCAGTCCTCCTGTGCTGCCTGGGCTTGCTGTCCCTGCCCTGAGACACCCCCAGGGTGGTGGCATCTCAGCCCCCCAGGTCCTCAGCTCAGGGGGATCACCCTGGGGGGGCAAATAATGGGGATATTGGTGGGAATGGTGGGGGTGAAGCTTATTGGGGTGTGGCTGGGGTTGGGGGTTTATGTCGGGGTGGGGCTTGGTGGTGGTGGGAGGGCAGGGTTGCCCAGCAGAGCCCCCCCACTACCAAAGACTGCCTGGGTGCCAGGGTCTCCAGATGGTGACAGGGAGAAGAGGGCACTCCGAACTACCTCGTTGGGGCTGGGCGGGCGCCTCCTCCACCCGCGCGTGCCCCAGGGTGCCAAAGCAGGTGAGCGCGGAGCGACGCTCGCCTCTACCTCAGCGCGGGGCTCGGCGGTGCTGGCCTGCTCCCCGCACTCCCACCGCAGCTGCCACTCCGTGTATCTATTAAAGGAAACAAGCTCCTGAACCAAACTGCTGCTGAGGGTTGTGTGCAGGGCATGGTGCCACCCACCGAGCTCCAGGGCTCAGTTTGGAGGTGCAGGACACCCCGACAGCCTGGGGTGCCATCTGTGGGGCCTGAGGTTTCACAGCCCACCTCTTGCTTGCCTCCAGCTCAGCTTCTGGGAACGCTGAGTTGTAAACAGGTGCCCTGTGGCCACCAGGGCACACAGACATGGGCTGCATCAGACAGGGCACCAGTTCCAGCTGTGCCAGCCAGGCTGTGGGGCTTGCACCCATGAGCCCCCAGTGGCAGTTCACCCATGGGTAGGGATCCCATTAGGCTGCCCTGTGCCAGGAAAGGAAACATGACACTGGAGCTGCTGAGACCATGTCCGTGGGGCTGTCAGGTTGGACCTGGCGAGATGCCAGCAGTGATGCACCAGCCTGGCACCCGAGCAGTGCCCTCAGAGGACACAGGTGAACATGGTGGAGCTGGGAGGTACACATATGTGGGTGGTCACTTGTGTTCACTTGTAAAACTCAGTGGAATGTACACTCAGACCGTCACACTCAGGCTCACACGTCGACTTCCACACGTGTGCAGCCACCTGTACATTTGAAGAGGCACAGGGGACTCCCGTGGGGACAGACACTCTGGCCAGAGGCAACCAAGAAGACAGGTCCCTGGCACCCAAGGGGACAGAAACTCCTGTTTGGGTCCCCCGCTGAGGCCAGACTCAGGCCCCTGGGAACACACAGCTTCCCGGGGACCGCAGTTCCTCAGGTACAGCCCCAACTCAGCCCCTCTAGGACAGCCCCCAGTCCTCCGGGAACAGCCCCAGCCCCTTGGGAACAGCCCCAACGCAGAGTCTCGCCGACATTCCCAGGGCAAGGGGACACCCCCAGCCCGGACCCCTGAGCCCACCCGGGAAGCGGTGTCGCTGTCCAGGGTGCTGCAGCACCGCCGCCCGCCCGGACCGGCCTCGGGACACGGGGGTGACACGGAGGATGGGGATGTCACGCTGGAAACGTGTTGAGGGCACAGGGGTGACACAGAACCCCTGCAGAGGACCGGTGGTCTGGCGGGTCCTCCCCTGTGTTCTGGCCACCGGGGATGGAGGAAGGTTCATGAACAAGGGGTGTGTGCATGCATGTGTGGGGGAGGTTGTTTGTGAGTGTACCAAGCAGAGCTGGAGGGGGATTGATGCAGTCTTAATTGGGGTGTCGTGTCCCTTTGCACTGCTGAGAAGTGCTGGCCACAGCTCATCGAGCACCGCAGCCCCAGGGAGCCAGCAGGGCACATGTGGGCCCGCATCCCCACTCATTACCAAGCTCAGAGGGTGATGTGTGTTTCCGTGCTCCCTGGGGAGCTTGGGGACACAGCTGCTGTCACCTGAGTAACCAGCCGTGATTGATGCCTGCTTCCTCATGTCCTGCAGGGACTGTAATTGAGCAGGAGAGAGAAGGTAGAGGATGAGGGGACAATGCAGCCCAGCCAATGGAACACTGAATCCAGCTGCAGCACTGGGCTGGGAGCAAGTAGTTGAATCAGTGTGCTCCTGCAGGCTCCAGGGATGGGGATGTGGTCAAAGGCCTGCTCTCATTCCCAAGGAGCAGGGAGCAGGCTCCATGTGCTGGGCTGTGGGCAATCAGTACAGTAGCTGCAGCTCCATTCCAAGGCTTGCAATTGGGATGGAACTCTAAAAGGTGAATAGGGACAGTCCCAAAACCCCCCAGTTCTTGAGGCCCAGGACTGCCTGAGTTTCTCAGCTTAAGGTACTGGGTGGTCTGAGACCCTCTAGTACAAGCATTTGTGGATTTGGGGCATCCCCCATCGTGCTGGGCCGAGGCCACGCTAGAGCTGGTACCCTCTAAGCACAGGCCATGGCTGTGTGCACAGCCCCTGGGCCCCTGCAGCCCCTGGCCCCTTCTGCAGCCCCCAGGCGCTGCTGCTAATGAAGCCATTTCTATTTGTCGCCTTTGTGGAACAAAGCTCAGCTCTTTGCCCTCTGAAGATCCCAGTTATCGATCCCTGGGAAGAAAAGGCAGTGCACACGAAGCCTCAGCCTTCTCCTGCTGCCTGAGTGCTCTGCACAGCTCCTGCAGGTGATTTGGGGGGGCGTAAGGGCTGCCGGGGCACTGGGCCACCCCACAGCTCCCTCCTGCATCCTGGTAGGCCTGCACAATGCTCAGTAGGAATGTACCTGTAAGGACAACGATTTTTCACGGCCTGTGGGGTTTGGCTTTCATCGGAGGGCAATAGGAGGGTTCTCCAAAGCCATGCAGCCCATATTATCAACGGTGTTAGCAAAATACCTGCTGTTAGCTGATGGTTGTTATCTAAAGAGTGGCCTGGAGCTTTGACTTGGTGTTTCCTGGTGCCTGGGCTATGGCAGTGCAATACCCAGATCCATGTTCATCCTGGCACTGCTGATGTCGTTTGTACATACCAGGGCTGAGCCCTGGGATACAGAGAATGACATCAGAATGTGCTTTAAAAAATTCACAGAACCATCAGGGCAGGAAGGGACCCCTGGAGAACACCCAGTGCAACCCCCCTGCCAAGGTAGGGCCACCTGGAGCAGGTGACACGGGAGCACATCCAGCTGGGGTTTGGGTGTCTCCGGAGAGGGAAACTCTGCAACCTCCCTGGGCAGCTGTTCAGTGCTCTGCCACCCTCAGCATAATGAAGACTTTCCTTCTGTTTTAGCTTATGGCTTTTGCTCCTTATCCTGTCACAGGGCACCACTGGAAGCAGTCTGGCACCATCCCCTCTGACACCAGCCTTTGAATATTTATATGCATTTAGGGAATCCCCTCAGTCTTTTCTCCAGGCTGAACAGGCCCATCTCCAGCAATCTCTCCTCAGAAGAGAGATGCTCCAGACCCCAGATCATCCTTGTGGCCTCTGCTGGACCCTCTCCAGTAGCTCCTTGTTTTCCTTGTGCTGAGGAGCCCAGAAGGGGACAGAGTACTCCAGATGTGCCTCACCAGGGCTGAGCAGAGGGGCAGGATCACCTTCCTTGACCTGCTGGCCACAGTCTTCCCTAGCATACTTTTTGCTCTGCAGCTGGGAAACCCTCTGGACTTTTTCTGTGGCAGATGCTGCTACTATCAATTAATTTCATCCTGTCAGAAATCCATGTAATTGTGAGTGCCAGCTGAAGGCAGTGGCGCGGCTGGGGCTGGCTGCACCATTCATTAGTGCTTCTCTTCTTCGCGAGCGTCACCTGTGGCAGTCGATAACAGAAAGGTGAACACGGGCAGACAGAGGCCTGGGGGAAAGCCAGCGGCAGCCTCCCGGATTTCAAAGGGCCTGCGTCCACACGGATCGCTATATCAATTCCTTTTAATACATCTGAGCGCCTCTTTCCTGGAGGACCACGCAGGAATGAAGAGGCCATCGACTGCCCTCCCAGGCGGCGGGAGGGCTGCTCGCCTCCCTCTGCAGTGCAAATCGCCATCGACCGCGCCGCGTCCTGGGAGCGGGGCTCGGCTCCGCCAGCCGCGGCCTCCCCTCCCGTCCCCATGGCAACCGCGGGCCTTAGCAACGCGCTGCCATGGCAACCGCCGGGGCGCGCCGGAAGTGAGGCGCGGCCACTTCCGCACGGCACAAAGATGGCGGCGGGCGCTGCGGAGCTGCGGCGGCTGCAGTGGCGGCTGGAGGAGCTGGAGCGACGCGTCGGTCTCGGCGGCGGGGGCTGCGGGCCGCGAAAGGTGCCGGGGGGGAGCTGCGGCCGGGGACCGTTTGGTGCGGCCTGGCGGGGCCTGGGGTGCCGCTGCCCGGCGGGGCCTGACAGCTCCGTCCCCTCCCTCTGTGCCTCTGCAGGTGGCGGACGAGCTGGTGAAGGTGCAGGTGGCGCTGAATAATATCGCCGGCAAGAGGGAGAGGATCAAAATCCTGTTTAAGAAAAGTGAGCAGCTCTTGCGGAAGGGCAGGGATTGCAGAGAGCGGGAGGGGGGAGCTCCAGACCGT